AGTTGTTGTTAATGGTGAACTCTCTTGTCAGGAGTCGAAGGAAGACCCCAAGACATCCATGTTTTGGACAGAAAAGAATTAAGTATCATCTAATTTTGAGGTTGAAAGAAGGGATGAAATACAAACGCATGAAAATATTGAAAAGCTAACACTGAATATTGTCTTAGAACATGCTTAGGTAGGTTTATACCCTTATCTTATTGTCTGGTCCAATTTCTATTCAATTCTATCTTATTCCCTCAGTTGATTAATTAATCTTACTAATCAGGATTTTTTATGCTTTAACTATCCCGGGGAATTCAAGATGAAAGTGGAGGTGGTTCAAATATGAAAATTATAATACAATTGTAACTATTAAGTTTAGACTAGTAACTAAGTGAAGGAATAAAATTGAAATTGAATGGGAACTAAACTGAAGAAGACCTTATGTGTGTCTTCAATTATATCTTTTTGCAGCATTGGAAGAGTTCTGTGATAATACACATACAAACTTGATAATTTTGCAGGATGCACTTGAAGTATATAGAACCACAACCACGGCAGAGAATACAATTTCTGAAGATACTTGGTAAGAATAAGGGAACCGAAATAGGTTGACCAGACAAAGGGAAATATAGTGACAGCCACACCCGTACTATTTGACCGTATAATTGCCTACAAAGTGAATCAAACTACTGTCTTTTCCAGCAGCACTGCTCATAGGTAATCAACCAATACTGCTTTGATCTGGTAGGGAATCTAGTGCTCATGGTGATTTGCCAAAATGATATTATCCGGAATCTGCAGAGATCACTGTGGTAAGCCAGGTATACATAATTTTTTCATTACATATAAATAGTTGGATCTCCAAGATTCTTGCATGTCACACATGTATTTCTATAACCAGAGCTGAAGCATGAGTGAGACTGGTTCTACAACAGTGGCTGCTGTACAACCTCCAGGTCTTGTAGCAGCATCGCATATGAAAAAACGTTATCTACAATCAGAAAAACGCTTGTTCCTGCTGGTTTTATTTTATTAACAGTACAAAATAATATAGGAATCATTTGTGAGGGAAGACATAAATAACAATAGCTGAGCTTTTTGTCATTTATTTAGAAAGGTAGACAGATTTATCCAAGACAGTTAGCTCTGTTGCATGGTCTCTGTATGAATGAAGTTCTTTATAGAAAATTATAACTATTGTGAATGTGACCCTTCATTCATTAGAGAGAAGAAAACATACAATGACTAGAACTGGGGCCGGTCATGATTATTGATAGCTGGAACATAGAAAAGTGATTCTTCCATTTTAGTGCATGAGAGTTCCTGGTAATCATTTTAGGGTGGCCTGAAAAGCAAGTCTCTGGATTAACTTATGGAAAGAATGAGAGGATTTGTTCTAGTTGTCCAGAAATTAAATGTGAGTCTATGGGAAGCAGCTCATCGGGAGCTGCAAGTTTGCAATGTTTAGTTTTACCATTACACTCCTCAAAACTACAAAACACTTTGAGAGTAACTTATGAGTTCTCTTTGAAGTGCTAAATTTTTTTAATGTTAATTACTAGATTGATCAAAGTTCAAGTTGTTATTTATAATAAAGTATTATTTAATTGCTAATTTATAGTAAAAATATTATGTGATTTTAATAACAGCTACAATGGGTATGGACAGAATTTTTTATTATTAACATTTTGGGTATGCTTGGAAAACAATTAACTATTTTTTTAGACTTTATGTAAATGTATTTTCAGTTCAATTATGAAATAATTAAAATTTATGTCTAAAATAAAATTTATTTAACATTGAAACATATTACAAATTTGGGCTTTAATTCATTTGAAATTGAATTTTAATCTTTTCGAAATCAAACTCTAATCATTTTATAATTAGACTAATTATACATATATCAATAAAATTAATAAAAAAAATTTGTTTGTTCCAAACAAATCTGTAATTCTTTAATCCCTATGAATTTAAAACATTAAAAATTTGTAATTCCCTAATCCTTATGAATCTAAATCATTTGAGTCGAGTTTCACACTAGAAAAGAAGAATCAAATTCAAATACTCGCAAAACAGGGACAGTGGAAGTTTCTGGCGCGAATCGACCAGCATGCTCGAGCGTGATCCAGAGGATGGTCGCGGAGGACGAGCCGATGATGGAGCCAACACTAGTTGAAGGTAAGCCGGCAACAGAGGCGACTCTCATCTATTCTGGTGTGACCCAACCGGCGCCCCCAACCTTGCTCTGGTCTGGTGTGAAAAAGTTGAATGTTGAAGATGAAACTATAGTTGATGCTGTGATTGGGCATGCTTCCTATGGAATGGGCGGAGAGGCGATGAACCTTAGGCAAATTACAGACGAGAAACTGTAAACCACACACATTGGAAAATCTCCTTTGCCGCAGGAAGCATCGAATGTGAAACTCTCATTTAGAGATGAACTCATCAATAGTCATCAGGCTGCTAACAATCGAGATGAAATTGAGATCAGGGACGGAGATGTTAAAGTTTGACATGGAGAATGGAATACTGAGAATCAATTTTTCAAATAAAGTGCATAACCTCCTAACGCAAAATATGAAACTTGCAATGATTATTCGACTGCTTGGGAAGCCGATTGGGTGTAAAGCACTATGGGTAAAACTTCATAGCCTGTAGAAGCCTACTGATCGATTACACCTAATTGACCTAGATAATGATTACTACATGGTCAAGTTCCACTCGACAGAGGACTACTTGCACGTTCTTAAAGATGGTCCATGGGTTATATATGGTCATTACCTCACGGTGTATCCTTGGTCCCCCAGTTTCTCTACTACAAATCCTAATATCACTAATATAGTGGTCTGTGTGCGATTTTCTGGCCTCCCCATCCATTATTACCATAAAAGTATGCTTAGAGCTATCTCCAGGGTGATAGAGAAGGTATTTCGCATTGACTATAATACTAAATCCGCTGAACGAGGCAAGTTTGCTCGATTTGCGGTTGGAATTGATCTGATCAAAGCACTCATTTATAAATTCATGCTGGATGGGCGCCTACAAAGAGTGGAATATGAAGGATTGCCTACTATATGCTTCAACTACAGAGTATATGGACACCTTAAAGACTAGTGCAAAAAAAATGCTAAGACAGAGATTGAGCAAGTCAAGAGTGGAAGCACAGGTCCGAGTGAACAAGATAATGTGGCAATGCTAAATGAAAATTATGGCCCCTTGGTGCGTGGCGCAAGAATAACTTACAATAAGAAGTTTATAATAAGTCAGGGTACTACTACGCTGGAACCTTCAAAGAATACCATTATAATAATTAAAGATAAGGTAGACCAAGACCATGAACTCAATCGATCCTCCTTCTATAGCTCCATGCCACCAACAATCTCCTTGAGAGATGGCCTCAGGCCGGTAGTCAAACCACCAGATAGATTTGGTATCAGTAAAGACATAAAAATTAATAAGACCTTTAAAAAATAAGTCAATGTAAAAAAAGAGGACAAAACACTTACATCCACTACTTCCACTACGATCAACCCCCTTATGTCTAAAATTCAAGAACTTGTCAATAAGGATATAAGCCTCGTTTCAAGCGCTGTTGATGCCCTTCAGAAGGAGCAAACATAATCTTTCTTTTGAGCATCAGCTCCTCTGTTCTCTTATCCTTACCCTATGGATTGTTTATTTCTTGTGTGGAATTTTCAGGGTGCAGTCAAAGCTAGTCTACGGCGTGTCCTAAAGTCGTTTATCAATATCCACAATCGTACCTTGGTTGCGTTGTTGGATCCTAGAACGGCATACGAGAAAGCAGATAAAGTGATCAAGAACTTGGGATTCGACTACTCTCACTGAGTTGAGGCAGTTGGATTTTCAGGGGATATTTGGATGATGTGGAAAGAGTCTATCCAGGTTAATGTGGACTACAATCACCGTTAGTTTATCCATTCCAAGATTAGCAAGAATGATGGTCGGGAGGATTTCTCCCTCTCTATTTTCTATGGGAGCCCAAATCCTCATAAACGTAAAGACCTTTGGGAGGAGCTCACCATTATTGGGCATCACATGGATTGCCCTTGGCTCCTTGTTGGGTATTTCAATGCCATCTTGGATTTGGATGACCGAAAAGGGGGGTGGCTAAATGGTCTAAAGGTTGCACTCTCTTTAACCGCTTCATTGATGTCAATTCCTTACAACAACTTGATTATATAGGACCTAACATTACATGGCGATGTGGAACCCTTTTTCAACGGTTTGATAGAGTTATCTGTAACTAGAGATGGTTAAACCAATTTTCGGAGGCCATTTTTCACCACCTTCTAAAAGTGCAATCTGATCATACACCTCTCTTGATTATTCCTTACACCTATCACACTCACAATAAGGACTCCAAGCCCTTTCAGTTTTTAGTTGCGTGGCTATCCCACCCCGATTTCCCTAACTTGGTCAGGAAAAATTGGCAGAACTATCTTTATATCCAAAGAACATTAGTAATTTTAGTGAGACTATGTAGCACTAGAATAAAAATGTGTTTGACCATATCACTAAGAGAAAACACATCTTCCTAGCAAGACACCACTTTGTTAGGCTCTAAGAGCTGGAGAAATCCTTGAAAGAGGAACTAGAGGGGGTGTTACTGCACGAAAAGATGCTCTGAATGTAAAAATCTCGATGTAATTGGATTTCTCTAGGGGACAGGAACACAAAATACTTTCATGCTCAAACCATCTCTAGAAGGAAAAAGAACAAAATTAGTATGTTTAAGGATGAGGATGGTGATTGGAGTACCGATGAAGGCCAACTTCGGATAATGGCCTCCACCTTTTTTGAGCACTTTTATACGGCTAAAGAGAGATCCATACCACATTATCCTGTTAGAGGCTTGTTCCCAAAGTTGACAGCTACTATGGTTACTCAGTTAGACTTTAAGATAACGAACCATAAAATTTATGACGCTTTATTTAGCATGCACCTGTTGAAGTTCCCTATAGTGGATAACCTTCACGTGGAATTCTTCCAGAACCAATGGGAGATTGTAAGCGAGTCGGTTTGCGCAATGGTCAAGGGTATCTTTCATGCCGAATAGTTACTTGCTGAGATTAACAAGACCTTTATTACTCTAATCCCTTAAGTTGCTAGACCAAAGACTATTAAAGAATCTTGTCCGATCAATTTATTAATGATGTTATATAAAAACATTATTAAACTCATTGCTAATGAACTCAAGAACCTAATGTCTTTTTTGGTTGACCCTACCCAAACTAGCTTTGTAGCTGGTAGGAATATCACAGATAACATTATTATTGCCAAAGAAATAGTCCACTCTATGTGACATTTGCGGGGAAAGACAAGTGGCTGACCATTAAGGTGGACTTAGAAAAAGCTTATGATTGCATCCGTTGGGAATATGTGGATGACACTCTACTTGATGTTGGTCTCCCTCCTAACTTTATCAAAGTCATCATGCAGTGTATCTCATCTTGCTCCATACGATTATTGTGAAAGGTTATCTCACCCAGGAATTCCAGCCTATTAAAGGCATTCGACAAGGGGACTAGGACCCCTTTTTACCCTACATATTTGTATTATGCATGGAAGGACTGTCATATTGCATCAACACTTGAGTAAGAAATGGTATGTAGAAGCCGATCTATCTTGGTAAGAAAGGTCTTGCTCTCTCACACTTCTTTTTTACAGATGACTTGGTAATCATTGAAAAAATCAATAAGGATCAGACTCATGTTATAAAGAAGATCTTAGAGGATTTTTGTGCGAACTCGGACCACAAAGCGAGTGTGACCAAAATACTTACTGTCTTTTCTTGCAATTTTATCACGGGTGAGGCTTGTTGTATTAGCAAGATGTTTGGTTTTCAAGTCTCTAGTAACCTTGGTAAGTATTTGGGAGTTCTATTGTTACATGATAGAGTCAATAAAGATACTTATCATTACATACTTGAGAAGATTAACCAAAAGTTATCTAGCTGGAATGCTAACCTTCTTTCCTTTGCAAGGTGTTTAATTTTGGCCAAGTCCGTCCTCATGACTATTCCTACCTATGCTATGCAGACCACGACCTTGCCTAAATCCCTATATGATCAGATTGAAACGGTGGTTATGAAATTTCTCTAGTGTTTGGGAATAACAACCGAAAAATCAGCATTATTAGTTAGGATGACATGTGCTTGCCTTACGATGCTGGGGGAAGCGACTTTCGGTCTATCCATAAGCAAAACCAAGTTTTTCTTATGAAATTGAACTTT